ATCTCTCATGTTTCTTATTTTTATTTAAGAAAAAAAATGAATTCCAGAACGTTCTAATTTTAAAATCTCTTCCCCCTCCCCTTCCCCCGCGAGAGTCTAAAGATAGGTTTAATTCGTATATATTTATTATTTCGTTGAACAAAAAGAATTCAAAGGTGTGCAAACGCGAATAAAAAAAAAAAAAAATAAAGGTGTTAATAAATTATTAATTTATGTTAATCAGATTCAAACTGTAAATATTCGACTTGGTTTCGAATAAATGATTATTCGAATGCCATTCATGTTTTATTATTATTATTATTATTATTTTTCTTCCTTTTTCATTATCCAATAATTGTTCTTGAATGGGATTCTAATAGATTTTCATACGACTGGTCTGAAAAGAAAATTTATTAATTAATAATTAATTTGAAATCAAGTTCACATAACTCTATATACATACATAACGTTTGGTTATCATTAGGTTATGCCACCGAATAAAATTGTCTGCCATTTTTTTTTTCAAGGTTTTGTTGGTATTTGTTATAAATAAGTATTATTATTATTATTACTATTGCATAATTTAATGAAACTGTGCGTGTTTTATGTATTTATGTATTAATTTTGAAATTGTTTCATTTACTTTTTTATGAACTTTTTTTTTGGGGGGGCTCTGATACGTCACAGGGTTTTTAAACCCAAACTATTTTTCTCTCTCTCTCTTTTTATTCACGATTATTATTATTGTTATTATGTTTTTTGGCGTTAAATGATAGAAAACAAAGATTGAAATGAGTCAAGGTGATAATAATAATGATTAATTTTTTTTTTTTTTTTATTCAACAATTGAATTGATTGAAATTAGAATGGTGGTGTAGGAACGCGGGTTTGAAACAAAATGGAAATGCAAAAAAGAGGAAAAAACAGGAAAAAGGAAAAGGGGGAAGGGGAAGGAAAAGACGGATTTTCTTTTTTTTTTAAATTTTAATGTGCTTAAAAATTACACGTCGGGTGTATAAATAACGTCGGAGAAACGAGAGTAAAAAGAAAAGTGGGTAGATGGATGGAGGTATCGATAGTAAAATGTCGTAATCAGTCAATTCGACAAACGGTTGTAGTTGCAGACGACGGTTGTAGTACAAAGTAGTTTTCCGTAAAGAAAAACTTAAAAAAAATTTTCTCATTCGAAATTGATGAATTAAAAAAAAAAAAAAAAAAAAAAAAAAAAAGAGAGAAAGAAAAAGACAAGAAAAAGAAAAACAGACACAAAACGATCTGTCAATAACCGCAAAATGGGATTTATATATAAAGTAAAGCAAGCGGGCGGTGGGGGGCGGGGCGGGGGTAAGTCGTAAAAAAAAAAAGTAAGAAAGGTGAAAAGGGAAGGAATACCGGAAAACGTGGCTTAAGAACGCATAATAAAATATTAACGAAAGAAAGAAAAAAAAAGGAAAGGAAAAACATTTTACCAACGTATTTTATATCGAACGCGGTTCTTTCATGTTTCCCATGAGACGTCATTTCCGGTGGTGGTGGTGGTTCACATTGAAACGTTCGGGGCATTGTTGTTTATTCTCCCAATTTTCCAACTCATCTCGATTGTCTTAACGTTAAATGGATATTGATTTTTCCCATGGTAATATTTATATTTAAAAAAAAAAAAAATAAATATAAATATATATATATGTATGTATTAACTAATAAGCTTTCTCTTGGAAAAGAAGCAATTCGTTGATATACATTACGGTTTGTTTGTTTGTTTGTTTTCGTTTGTTTGTTTGTTTTTTTTTTTTTCTTTACAGATGTGTATCAGGTGTGTCGTTTTTAATTTAATAGGAAAAAAAAATCGTTATAATTTTAAAGATGAGGAAATTTTAAAATAGAAAAACAAAATTTTTTTTCCCCATCTCCTATTGGAAAATTGAAATTTTTTTATTAATATTGTTATTGTTATTATTATTATTATTATTAATATTTCTTAATTTTCTTTTCGTGCTATTTTCCATTAAAAAGAAAAACGTTCGTTCTAATTAATTTTAAAATATTTAAAAAAGGTTTTTTTTTTCTTCACTCTTTAAGGTTTAAAAATTTTCCTTCCTTCTTTCCTTCCTTCCTTCCTTCCTTCCTTCCTTCCTTCCTGTCTTTCTTTTTTTTTCTTTTTTTCTTTCTTGACTAGGGAAAAAAAAAGGAAAACTTTTTGCTCGTCTCGTTTTTCAGTTATCTATGACGTTCACGATGTTTTTCTTTTTTTTTTTTTTACGTGTTGTCTTCATGTTTTCGTGTCGTTTTTTTTTTCTTTAGTTTATTTTTGGAAAAAAAAATTTTATTATTAGAAAAAAGAAAAAGAAAAGAGGAAGGAAATGGTTGTTGTTGTTGTTGTTGTTGCTGCTGCTGCTGTTGTAATCAATAAATGCGGAAAATGTTATAACTTGCGTCATTTTTTTCGTTTTAAAAATAAATTTTTTTCGGTCAATAATTTAGGCTCTCTTATTTTATTTATATTTTAATAATTAATTATTATTGACGGGTGGGGGGAGGGAGGGGAAAAAATTGTTTAAATTAAATTTTTTAATTTAAAAAAAAAAATAATAATAAAAATAATTATAATAATGATTATTATTATTATTTCGATATGAATAAAATTTAATTAGAAAACTTATTATTATTATTATTATTTTTAAATGATCTTCTGTTAAAATGTTACGAAATGTTTAAATCCGACCAAGGATAAAAGATTTACTCGATAATGATAATAATAATAATAATAATAATGTGTTTGTTCACGTTCGTAAAATTAATTTTAGAAAAAAATATTTTTTTTTGTTCTGTTTTGTTTTTCGAATTGTTTAAAACAAATATAAATATGCAAATGTTTGTTTAAAAAAAATGTTTGTTGGTTTTTTGTGTTTGTTTTCGCTTACAGCTTAATTTTCACCGATTTTCGAGAGTTGTGGCAATTTTATCGGAAAATGATGTAAAATGATCATCATCATCATCATCATCATCATCGTGTTGTTTGTTCATGCATGGAAAAATTTTCGTTTGTTCGATTATTTTCGCGGTCGAATTGTTTTCTGTTGTTCTGCTTGAATTTTGTAGGATAAATATAAAATTATTAAAATAAAGCGTTTTTCCAACGATGGAAATCCCCCCGGGGGCGGGGGGAGGGTGGAAGAGAAGAGGGAGGAAGGAAGGAAGGGGCGGTTCCTTATTTTTTCTCTCTCTCTCTCTCTCTTCCAAGCCGGGGGTAGTTTTAATGATGTCGGCGGTACTTTTAAAACTTTTCTGAATTTTTGCTGATTTCGTTTCAGGTCATACACGATTGTCGAAACGATTCTTCGACGATATATTTTCAATTCGGCGTCATATTGAGAAACGTTTTCGACACGAAATCCGCTCACGCCGTTATACAAATGCAAGAAATGGGAAAACCCGTTCACAAAGTAAAAGACGTTAGCCTCAACACGTTATACGAAATATACAATCTTCCGACGAATCCGATGAAAGAATATTTTAAAAATATTTATAAAAAAGATCAAAAAATATGGGGTAGGAGACCGCTTTCTCGCGACATGATTGTTTATGCTGCCGCGGACGTCCTTTCATTGGTGCCACATTTATATAGTTTAATGCTCAAGTGAGTTTGACGCACACATATAGGGAGGGGAAGGAGGGGAAACAAATCAGACATTGTTGTTCTTATTCATTCATTCCTTGAAATTTAATTTAATAATAATAATAATTTCTATATTTCTTACTCTGTCGTAGAATTATCAAACCGGAATACAAGAAATTATTAGAGGAATTATGCGAAGAACAAATATACGTTCACATCAAACCGATCGAAGTGAAACTTCGTAAAAATCAAAGGAAAATAGAAACGGAAGTGAAAGATTTGAAAATTAAATTATCCAATCAACAATTGAAACAAATAGTTTTAAGTAACAGGGAAATACGATTGCTTAGGTACGGGGGGAAAATGTGGATTACAAAAAAAAAAAAATAATAATAATAATCGAGATGATTTTTTCATTTAAAATGTATTCATTTTGGTCTTGTTCTTGTTCTTCAGGTACATAGATTTAACGGAAAAGGAAAAGGAAAAACTTCGCGGTTCGTATAAGGTCGCTAAAAAATTAGAACAATTGGAAAATGCGGGTTCGAAAGATAATAATAATTATAATAATAAATCTTCGGACTCCGACAGCGATTTGGACGAAGAATATCCGAGTTTGGATTCTTTTCACAGCGGAAAAGCGTCTCCAATGCCTGGTACGATTTTTTTTTTTTTTTTATTTGTTTCCATCGCCATTTTTTTTTTGTCGGGAAATGGAGAAAATTTATCCTCTGTTTTAAATCGTGAGAATTCAAAATTTTATTTTTTATAAATTAGATGTCGCGATAATAAAATAGAAAAAAAGAAAAAAAAAAAAAAAAAGGAAAAACTTTGAAAGAAGGTTGAGGAGGAGGAGGAGAAAGAAAAAGGAAAATTTTTTTTTCCGAAGAGAAAAAATTCGGTGAAATTTTATTGTAATGGAGGTGGATGGCAGAGTGAAAGAGAAATAAATGTATAAAAGATTTTATTACGTAATTTCTTTTGTAATTATTATTATTATTATTAGTTTCGGTAGTTGATTTTGATTCAGTTGAGAGTAATTAATATTATATTTGTAAATTTAATTTTTTTCATTTGTTTGTTTTGCTTTGTTTGTTTGTTTTCAAAGGAGAATTGGTGTCGTTGAGAAGTCCGTTATCCGCATCGGAACCCGTGAGTTTAACCGAATCCATGCAAATGGTCGACGAAATACTATCGGATACTCAAATAGATCGACTCGACAAGATAAAAAGACTGGAAGAAATTCTTTCGGCGGCAACATCCGACGTTCAGATTCCTTTCTCTAAGGAAAATTCATTAAATTTTGCTCAAAACGAACAATCGCCCGGGAGTGAGGGTAAACACGGAGGGTGCACGTGCAATTGTCACGATGATTTCTACGATTCGTCTAATCGTCAAAGCGAATCGACGACGAGGGGGGACAACGAAGATGTGGGTTGTCAAACTTTGTCGACGGGTGACATCGTCATAACGAAAATATGGTTCACGGAAGAGGAAAAGGAAAGGGAAAAAACATTATTGTTTTCACCCAAGAAATCGGCTACCTGAAAAAATCCACGATGATGATGATGATTATGATGATGATGATGATTTTTCATCCGAATATTAATTGAAATAGTTTTTTTCTTATTCTTGGTTGTAATCAATGATTGATTGATTGATTGATTGATTGATTTTTTATTTTATGTTTTTAACAATTGGTGTCTGTGGAATAGCGCAATGTCGATTCTCATAATTTTTTACTATTTTTTTCAGGTTCAGTTGTTATATATTTTTAAAAATGAAAATCATAAATTAATTTTATTTAGGTTTTTTTTTTTTATTAAAAAATTATTTTAATTTAATAGAAAATCATATGATTAATAATAATAATAATAATTAAAAATTATTAATTTTTATAAAACGTCTTCCAATAAGCTCATAATTTATTCATAATGATTGATTGATTGATTGATTGATTGGAACTGAACCTAATTTTTAACTCATATGCCTTTATTAATGTAATAAAATGGCGTTCTTGATAATCATTGCAGTTTTTTTTTTTTTTTTAAATTATATAAACATAATATCATGATAATAAATTAATAATAATGTACAAAACAGTTAATTAACATAATTAAAATGAAATATATATATATATACATAAATAATTTTTTTTAACCGATTTTATTTTTAAATAATATAATTAAATAATATTTCCTTATGTGAAATCATATGTTTTAATTTTTTTTTTTTTTTTGCAATTTTTTACAACAGAAGTTTTAATCTCGTATATGTTTGTTATTATTATTATTATTATTTTTTTTTTGTTGTTTATTAAAGTTTATTTTATGAGATTGTGATTTTTTAAATATATATATATATATAATTGCATAAATGATGATAATGGCATAAATACATAAAAAATTATTTTAATTTAAATGAGAAGGGTGCTGGTGTAACATGATTGTTTACTTAAGCAAAATAATTTCATTAAATAATAATTAATTAAATAAAAAACAAAAAAGCCAAAAAAAAAGGTTTTCTTTTATTTTTTTAAAAAGAAAAAAAAGAATAACTGCTTTGTTTTATTTTTTTTTTTATTGAATATTCTTTATTTATTTGTTATAGCAAATAATTGTAAAGAAATAATTTTTTTTTTTTTTTTTATTAAATACTGTTTGTTTGTCATTTAATTTTAATAAAACTGTTAATTATTCTCATGTACTTTATTAACTAGTTTCAATAATTTAATAAAAAATTGTTTTAAATATTTTTTATTGTACTTAAAAAAATTTTTACATACACCTTGATTGTTTATTATCTTTATTAAAAAAAGATTTAATTTTAAATCTGCCTTTTTTTTTTTTTTTAAAAAAAAAGTTAATTCCTAAGTATTGTAGCATTTAATATTTGTTTCTAAAATTTATAAGTAAAATGTTTTTAAAATTATTTTAAAAAGAATTGTTTTAGATTTTAAAATGTTTTTTATTTTTAACGACAATCGTTCTGATTACACGATACCGGGTCACAATTCTAATTACACTACAAACTTTGAAAATTCGTCAGTTCTTGCATTATTTTTCTCAATATTATGGTTTTGTTGACAAAATATAATTGATTCATCGTTAAATCTTAAATTTATCAGAGCTTGATTTCAAAATCTTTTTTTAAAATCTACTCATGGTTTATCTATGATTTACAAGTTCTGTTTTACTATTGATATGTATTAGATTCAAAATTTTTCTGATTGACTTGTTCATTTAATATATATATATATACATTTTTTAAGTTTAAAAATTGTAAGTGAATTATCTGAGCGATTTGCTTTTGAACATTTCGATTAAATACTTTATTTATTAATTTTTTTTCATTTCTTGTAATGTTAAAATATATGAATGTGATTTGATTTTAGGTACGAAAAATTGTGAATAATGGCTTTATCATTGAAATATCTTCCTCAGTTTTTTTCGCAGTCACGTAAAAAGGTAATGAACAATACATTATTTTCTAACTATAAGTTATCAAATAAAATTCGATTGCTTTACAATGGAAAATCTCCTTCTTATACTGCACAACAAAAATTGGCTGTCGAGTCAGTCGGAGAAAATAACAGATTGTTGTCTTTTCACGTTGGAGATAAAATTAATGGTTTCGTAGTAAAACAAATAGAAAATATTCCAGAGTTTCAACTAACTGCAGTAAAGCTTTTACATGAAGAAACTGGAGGAGAATATTTACATATTGATAAAGATGATACCAACAATGCATTTTCAGTAATTTTTAGAACAACTCCCACCGATTCAACTGGTTTACCTCATATTTTAGAGCATACAACATTGTGTGGAAGTCATAAATTTCCATGTCGTGATCCATTTTTTAAAATGTTAAATCGTTCTCTGGCTACATTTATGAATGCCATGACGGCTCCTGATTACACAATGTATCCCTTTTCTACTCAAAATTTAAAAGACTATGAAAATTTAATGTCAGTTTATTTGGATGCAGTTTTTCAGCCTTTGCTAAACGAACACGATTTTCGACAAGAAGGTTGGAGGCTTGAACATGCAAATCCAGAAGATCCAAAAACTCCGATTATAATTAAAGGAGTTGTTTACAATGAAATGAAAGGAGTGTTTGCAGATAATCAAAATATATTACAGTACTCTCTCTTGAGTAGCATTTTACCATCGAATACTTATGGTGTGTGCTCTGGAGGAGATCCAGCAGAAATCCCTTCATTAAATCATGCAGATCTTAAAGCATTTCATAAAAATTATTATTCACCATTTAATGCCAAATACTATTCATATGGTAATTTTCCATTAGAAACTCATTTAAAAAATTTAAATGATAATTATTTGAAAAAAGTAAATAAAAAAACTCAAGATCAATTATCGACAATTGTGGCGCCAGAAAAAAGATGGAGTGCTCCTATTAGGAAACATATTTCTTGCAGGAATGATCCGTTAGCAGCTGATAAAAATAAACAATCATCTATTACCATAAGTGTTTTATGTTGCAGTATAACTGATGTTGAAGAATGTCTTTTATTGAAAGTTTTATCTGATTTACTTGTCACAGGACCTAATTCTAGTTTTTATAAAACTCTCATAGAACCAAACATAGGAGCAGGTTTTAGTCCTGTGACCGGTTATGAAAGTCAAACGAGAGATACATTTTTTAGTGTGGGTTTACAAAGTGTTTCAGAAAAAGATTTTGATAAAATAATTCAAATATATGAAGATACAATTGACAATGTTATTAAAGAAGGTTTTGATAAAAAAAATTTAGAAGCAATTTTGCATTCAATTGAATTAAATTTGAAACATCAAACTTCAAATTTCGGTTTAGGATTATTATTCAGTGTTGCTCCAATTTGGAATCACGAGGGAGATATAATTAATTATTTGAAAGTGGAAAGTCATATAGAAAAACTTAAACGTAAAATCAATGAAGATCCAAAATATTTACAAAATACTGTGAAAAAATATTTTAAAGATAATAATCATAAATTAATTTTAACAATGTCTCCGGATCCCAAATACGATGAGGAAGAAAAACAAAAAGAAGAAAAGTTAATTAGTAAAAAAGTTCAAGTGCTTAGCGAAGAAGAAAAGCGTAAGATTTTCGAAGACGGTTTAAAATTATTGCAATTACAAAAGAAAGATGACAAATCATGTCTTCCAAGTTTGAAAATCAGTGATTTGAAAAAAGATGTGGAAAAAGTTAAAATCATAAATGAAAAAGTGGATGACGTAAATGTTTACGTCATACCACAACCGACCAATGGCATTACGTATTTTAGAGGCATTATGACTTTGGGTGATTTGTCGGAAGAATTAAAAAATTACCTTCCCTTATTTGCCACCGTGGCTACCAAAATGGGTACTAAGAAACGTAATTATAAAGAATTCGATCAAATTTCGACATTGAAGACCGGAGGTTTAAGTTTGGGAACTCATTTCAAAGATGACATAAGTCGAATGGATCATTTGGAAGAAAGTTTAACCGTCAGTTCGTATTGTTTAAATAGAAACATCGACTCCATGTTTGATCTCTGGTTGGAGATTTTTCAAGGCATGGAATTATCAGATTTGAAAAGATTTGAAACGTTGGTTAATGCTCAAGCCGCGGCTTTAGTGAACGATATCACAGATCTGGGCCATCATTACGCCGTCCTTTCTTCCTCAAGCTTAGTGTCGGGTTCGAGTTTACTAAAAGAAAAAAGTTCCGGGCTGACTTATGTCAACGCAATGAAAAACATCGCTCAGGGAGACTTGGCCCCCGTTTTAAAGAAAATGATAGAAATAAAAGAAAAACTTATGTCTCGAAGTCGAATGCGGTGTGCCGTTAACGTTGTAGAAGGTACGGAATCCAAAGTTCTCGAACAGGTTTCTAGGTTTATTCATAATACTCAGGGTACAATCGAAAATTCGTACGCAATGCAAAACGTTGGCCTTTCGAAATCATCCACCGGCGGTCTTTTTCACGTACTACCTCTACCAGTAAGTTACACTGGAAAAACGATCATCACCGTACCTTACGAACACGAGGATTGTTCAACGATAGGCGTGTTGGCACGATTAATGACAATGAAATACCTACATCCGGAAATACGGGAAAAGGGAGGAGCCTACGGCGGTGGAGTCACGTTATCCGCATCCGGTCTATTAAATTTTTATTCGTACAGGGATCCCAATCCGGAGAATTCGCACAGAGTTTACGATAATTCCATATCGTGGTTAAAACGTGGGGAATTCACTCAGGAAGATGTGAACGAAGCAAAATTGGGATTGTTTCAATCCATAGATGCTCCCGTACCTCCCGGAAGTAAAGGAATGAGATGGTTTTTGCACGGAATAACGGACGAATCGTTACAAGAACATAGATTAAGAATTATGAGTGCGACAAAAGACAAAATAATTGAAGTCGGTGAAAAATATTTAAGTGAAAAAAATACGAATCCCGTGGGACGAGCGACGATAGGACCCGAAAATAAAAATATATTAAAAAATAAAGAACAGAATTGGAGGTTTATAGGTCAAGAATAATATTGAACTTGTGTGAAATTTTTTCCAAATTTAGTTACGATAATTAATTTATTACATAAAAAAAAAAAAAATAAATCCCATTTATTATATATATAATTGTCATAAATTTGAATCAACAAATTTTTTTTCTTCTTCTTCTTCTTCTTCCACTTTTTCTAATTTTCTTTTCTTAACAAGGCTACCAATTTTTTCTTCCAACGAACCTGCAAATAAAAAATTTTTTAAAAAAATTAATCGTGTAAGAAGAATAAATTTAATTGTGTGTGTGTGTGTGAAAAAGTATTTAAATTTAAATTACGGCATCTTTCACGCGTCAATAACGGTTTGTAATTTTTTTTAACTGATCCATAAAAAAAATAATCGCCCTGGGAAGATTGGATTTCATCAATTTCACCATAATTTCCTTTCAATTTGTTCAAATCGTTAATCACATCTCTTATCATGATGCTTCTGTAAAGAATTTTTTTTTTTTTTTTTTAATTTAAAATGGTGGAAAAAAAAAAAACACAAAAAATAATTGTTTGGCGTCTTACTTTACACTGAAATCATTCCATAATTCTTGAAAGTTTTTTATTATTTTGGTTATGTTGTTTTCATTTACATTCCATTTTAATGAAATTGAAGTAAATTGTGCTTCGAATAAATTCAATGGCATGGGTAAAGCCAAATCGTATTGAGGTTTAGCAGGATTTTTATTTATGTCGAGTAAATCATTTATAATGTCGGGTGATTCTTTTTTCTGTCCGACCAATAATAAAACACTCATTATACTTCGTATTTGATGATATAAGAAACATTTTGATTTAATTTCAAATATGTAAAATTGATAACCTGTAATTTATTTATTTATTTATTTGTTAACAATACAAAATTTTTTTGTTTAATAATAAATTATTTTAAAATAAAGTTTCATACTCGTGTGATATTAAAACATTCTAGATAAATTTGATTTCATAATATTTTAAATAAAATTTTAATATCATCATTTTTCGAAATTTTTTTATTTATTTATTTATTTATTCTCAATGCTAAAATGATAAAAATAAAAATTTTATATAATTACAAAAATCTTTCCAGCTTTTCTTTTATTTTAGTTTAATTTAATTGTTTTTTAACTTATTGATTTATTAAAAAAAAAATAAATAAATGAAACTTTGATATTTGAATAAGTATTTTTAAAATTACCTGATTGTTTTTCTAGTAAAAATGAACATGGTTTTATGTCTGCATAAATAATATTTCTATTAAAATTTGTTATACCATTAGCTACATCCATTTTACATAAATTTCTAAAATCGTGTGAACCTAATAGCGATTTGGCAGCTTCTCGCATTAGCTGGAAATAAATGGAAATTTTTTTTTTTCAAAAAAGTGTAATTTTCTTTTTTTTTTTCCACAAATAAAAGATTGTAATACACACATTAATATCGAGATTTCCTTTGGGAAAATAATATTTATATGTTCTTTCCGAACAATCATGCCTGGAACCGACATCAGATCCGACATGTGCCCATGAATAACATTTTATAAATGGTGGTAATAACCTATTTAACATAGAACAATATTCAATTTCTTGTTCTGCATTTTCATGATTTGGATTTTCTAATTTACTTCTTACATCTAAAATTTATTCAAACAAAATATAAATTAAATTAAAATAAGTTTTTGAAATAAAAAATTATTAACTTAAAAATTATTAATTACCTAAAGAGATAACCTGGGAAAATGCACTCACACCTTTGTCAGTTCTTCCACATTTTTGATAATTACTAGTTTCAATATTTTCAATAAGACAACATTTTTTTAAAGCATCAAACATGAATTGTTCAATGGTGTTGGATGTATTTTCTTGAATGACAAATCCAGAAGTATCCCAACCAAAGTAACAGAATTTTAAAAAAATATGCCTTTTTGATATTCTATAATTAATGATGAAAAAATGATTATGGGAGTATAGATAAAATTATTGAATATTTCAATCGTAGAATGTAATGCTTACTCAGAAAAATTAAATTTCCTTTTTTTTTTTTTTTCCTTTTCATTTTCTACCTTAGATAATTTATTATTATTTTTAGAAATAGAATTTTGTAATTGAAGCGTATGATTTTTAAGAAGAATAATTTGCTCAATTAATTCCTAAAAAAAGTAAATAATACTTATTTAATAAAAAATATTTTTTTTAAAAATTAAAGTACTTAAAACTTTATTACGAAACAAGTGTGTAAAGAATGTAATTTTTTTTTTTTAAAAAAAAAAGTTTATTATAATTTTTCAAATTAGAAAAAAAAAAAAAAAATAACCTCACGAGTCAAATCATTTAATGATTCTTTGTTCAATTCTTTTTTTTTAATAATTCTATATTTTTCAGCCATAGAACTGAATTGTCTTTTTACCAATAAAATTATGTTGGAATACAATTTCATAATCCAGTACAAAATACTGGAATTAGGATTATTTACAAGAATATCTTAATTATAGCAAATTATCTGGTTAAGAAAGTCAAGTGAAAGCTCTGATGTTATTGCTAGCAGCAAAAAACCAATGAATGAGAAGTTATGTTATATCTGTAATGTGAGATTAAAGTAAACAGACAGTTCTAGTGGGCTTAAGTATTAATAATAGTTTAATTAACAATTTAGTAACCGTTTAATAAATTAAAAAAAAAAGATATTTAGATTCGTTTAGCCGTATTTCTTAGGCCTTTATTAGTTCATTACTTTCTTACTTTATTGGCTACTACTTCGTTAAAAATACAAAATGGCGACTAAGTTTTTGAGCAAGACTTTACAAACCGAAAATTGATCGCAATGAAATCAAAATGGATTCAAATAAACATTTTTAATTTTACCTTCTCAACTTGATTTTTTTATGTTGAAAAATGGATTGTAGAACAATCGGTAAATTCTAAAACTTTTTTGTCGGCCTTTACATTATTTCAAATCACAATAGATTTTGAATTGCTTATTAACGTTTTAATTTTTTAGAGTGATTAATAATGTTTCTTTTGGTAGTTAAATAATAATAAGCTCAATTAAAATATTCAAATTCTTACTTATATATTTATTTAACTTTTAAAAATTATCTAATTTTATTATTGATAACTATGTTAGGGTGTGACTTGAACTTGTGTAAAGAAAAGAAAAAAAAAAATTAAATTATCTATTATCGGTAAAAATACAACTTCAGTTATTTTTCTTTCAGGAATGAAACTGATTTATTTTAAGTTTCATTTTCATTTATTTTAAAAATGTCTCCATCTGATAAAATTAAAGGAGGAAGTAACTCATATTCTGGAAAAGAACAAACACAAAGAAGCTTAGACATGGATCCCACTCCAGAAATAAGGTCAACATCTTCTTCTGACATAGGAAAACCTGGCACAATTTCTAGCATTCCTTTGATCACTGCCAGTCTGTCCACCTTAAAGTGTTCTGATAATGAACAAATAAAAACTTTTGATCCTGGAGAAGAAAATGGAATTGATAGACTTACTTGTGGAAGTTCTTCACTCTCTGAAAGAAGTAATTACAGTGGCTTAATCAGGAATAGTAGCAAAAATTATAAAGCTGGTACTAAAATTAACAAACTAGCCGATATGTTAGCCAAAAGATCTCAAAATATTGTTGAAGTTACTGAAAATGCTAAGTCTAATATTGCAGATACCTTAATCAAACCCAAAATAGAAAGTTCAGTATCTCTTAAACAAACAGATAATGTAATAAACTTTGAAAAAATTTTAAATACTTCTGATGTTAGTTGTAATAGGACTGTAAATAGTAATGAATTAGTTATGTTTAGAAAAAATCGACGTAAATCAGTACCAAATCATAGTTGCAATCTAAGCAAATTGCAATCTCAGTCAACTTCAAAGTCATGTTTAGATATTTCTAGACTTTTTTCAATGCAGGAAGATTGTAGACCTGAACTTAATGCCTTAGGAGAACCATTGAATATGCTCCAGACTGATGAAAGTACAAAAAGAAAAGCTATTAAAAAAAATTTTAAAAATGTCGAGTTGACACTTATTTTACCACAAAAAAAGAAAAGATTTTCAAGCGGTTTTGAAAATATTAGTAATAAAGTTAATGAAAAAATTGTAGAAGTTTCTACTAAGGCTGAAGTGCCAATTCGAGAAAATAGTGAAAACATACCTAAATCTCATCAAGTTTTAAATAGTTCAGTTTCTCAACCGGATCATGTTATTAATAGTTCCATTTTGAAAAAAGAGAACAAAACAAAGTTAAGAAAATCAAAAAGACTAGTTGAAACATCTACTCAAACAACTGATATAGAATTTGTTACGCCCATCATATCATCAGTTGAGAGCAGTGTTGCTGCCGTTGAAAAGAATAGCAAATTTAAAGAAAACACATCTTGTGTTTGCATTTTAGAATCAAACGCTAAAAATATGATGAAAGAAGACTCTCTCAAAGTTAGCAAAGATGTTTCCAAGTGCCAATATTGTTTAAGTATATTACCAGTAAATGATTTGAAAATGCATTTAATGAAAAATCATTCAAAACCATGTAATAATTTCTTTTCGAAATGTGATCCCGAACTTATAGTCAAAGAAGAAGTTCAACCCCGAAGTGAAGAGGTTAATAAAGTCTCTGACGTTGTAAATCAGGGAAATATTGATCCCAGCCAAAAAGATAACAGATGCCATACGGTAGATGAAGAATTAAGTAGGAAAAATAGGGAAAACATTGAAAATAAAAATGAATTATTTATCGATTTATCTTGCGAGTCGGCTGCCAAGTCTTCGACTTCTCCAAAAGCTAACCAAAAAGTTTTGCCGAGAGAAATGTTTTCAGAAGAGCAGCTCTTGGAAATGGAAATAAAATTTTATAATCAGTTGTCTGGAAACATTCAAGAAAATTTAACTCATCATCTCGATGGAAAAGTAAACAAAAACAATTCTCTCTCATCTGCTAATTCTTCTGCTAACACTGCGTCACCGACTACTATAAACACGTCAAATTTTTTATCCGGGATAACATCGAATTCCGGAGTTGTACTTAATGCAGAATCATCAAGAGCACCTTCACCGTATAAAACCAGAAGCAAAACTCCGAATCCCTTGCCACGAACTGCTAAAAAATTTAAAAAATTGCCCAATTGGCAGCAAAAGTTTTGGGAAAAATATAACTTTCCATCAAATCACCGATACGAACACAGGTTTTGGGATAAAAATTGTTTGAGCAGTGAAAAATCCGCCTTTTATTTAAAAGACTTATCTTGCCTAGATGTAAAAACTCAGTTAATTATAAGAGAAAACATTCAGAAAGTAGATGAAATAAGTTCGTTTGAGAAAAATAAAAAATCGACGGATAATTTACAGTTTCCCGAGTATTTGTCGTTGACACCTCGGTCGAGTGATAAAAACGATCAAAAAATTAAGTGTGACGCCGTAGAGAAAAAACCTTTCGATTGCGAAACCAAAGAAAGCGAAAAGTCTTTCAAATCTCCGATTGCAGAGTTACCAATATTGAAATGTCGTAGAAAATTAAGCTCCGATAATTTTTCTCTAGCCAAAAAAAGCCAGATGGAAACCATTAACGCTGACAAAATTAAAATGATGACGAGGCGCCAGAATTCATTAGATTCTGTAAAAGACGAAATCGATGAAAGTACCAAGAAACGAAAGGGTAGTTTGGATTTAAATACGGGGCAAAAAATGTCATTGAGAAGACAGACAAGCTTAGAAATCATTCAAAAAGCTAATGATGTCAGTTTGGAAAAAAATCAGGTTTTAAATAAACCTGTAGACTTGATGAATAATTGTGAAAGATCATTATCAGCGGCAGGTGAGGGTTTTTTTTTTTTTTTTTGCCATTTAATTTTGGATTGTGAGTTTTAAATTTATTTTTTACTCATTATTTATATATTTTTAAAAGATTTAGCCGAAATTAGTGGGGAATGGGTTAGACCGAGAACTTACTTGTGCGGAACGTGTTGCACGAAATTTACGAATTTGTGGGAATTGGAAGATCACAAATGGGTCAGTCATCCAAACGTTTGGTGCACTCATTACGAATTCGAGGATGAAAAAATCGATAAATTATTTTATTCGAATGAAAACAATGATAAGGAACCGAATTCAACCGAATTATTAAACGTTAAACTGACCGATTTGTATAAAAGATATTTATTACCTCACGGATCTTTAAAGACTGCAAAACTAGTCCCTATCATGAATTTTCCCGAGCAATGCTCGAAATGCCAGAAGAATTGCACGAGTGTATCAGAAATGCATAAACACATGTTGGATTGCGGTGGTGACACGACGTGGTTTTTGACCATGTATTCCTCTCCGATGTCGATCAAAAGGAAATGGAGGCCTTTCGGGAGCAGGCGAAGAAAGCAAATTGGTCGTCGGGATTTAAAGAGAAATATTCCTAATACTCCAAATATCAGATCTTATCACTATCAACACAGAATCAGAACCAAGCCTGGCGATGTGGAAAGCATTCAGAAAATGTTGGCAAATTTACCTGAAAAACGTGCCAGAAGAGCTATTAATTTTGATGAAATCAAAACTCGCAGTCAAGCTACCATTCATAGCGTAAGTATGCAAGAACTTATGAAAAGGGTTTGTTTTTTATGGACTAATCTAATGGATCTGTTTTTCAATTAATTTTAGAATCGTCTTTTGAGAAAAAGATTCAAGTCTTCTTTTGCAAACAATCTGCTAAAGTTTAAAAATTTAAAACAAAGGCAGCAGCAACAGCAGCTGAAACACGGCAAAAAAGAAAGTTCCAGTTCCAAATCAACAACGGATACCAGTTCTGAAAGTACACCCATGGGCTCTCCGAAACGTAAAAACAAATTGAAAGATAATTCAAAAGACGAAAAAATGATGAGCAATTCCAATGTGGGCTCAAGTGAAAGTATTCGAAACGCTAAAAAAAAAAGACGGTCCAAAAAGGAAGAAAACAATAGTTCGAAGGTTAATGTTAAGAAAGTCAATAAGCGAACAACGCAAAATACCGAAAAATTAAAAGTCAAAAAATGTACGGTCAAAGGAAACGGTTCCGCCACGATGGATGGTACAAACGATGTAAAAACGAAAAAGAAATTAACTTTAAATGATAATTTTTCGGTTTTAAATCCCGGATCGAACGTGAATGCTATAAAGGAAGAAAATGGAAAAGGGAGTAGAAAACTTAAAAAGAATTTTACCGATAATGATGACATTATTTTTCTCGAAGAAATCAATCGAACCTCTATCGTATCGGAATTTGTCAATGTTAACGAGAAAACATCCGAGAAAAGAGTAATGAGTAAAAAGAAGAGAAAAAATGAAAATGTCGAAAGTGAAGAAACGGTTCAAAAAGTTCAAAATAATAAAACAATATTGAGACTGAAATCAAACGCTAAAGAGAAGACTGATAAAATAAATAAAAAAGTTAAGGAAAAATTTAAAAATCCTAAAGGGGCCACGGAAAAAAAAGAAAAGCAAAAAAAAATTTCTGACAAAAATTTCAAATTATCCAAGTACGACAGCATCATTAGATTTACAAACGAATGTGGGAAAAAAGACGTGGATTTTGAATGCGAAACATTTCTGAACAAAGATCTTCAAAATCCAAATTGTTTAACGAATGATTTGTCAAAGGATGACGGAAAAGGAACGAGTCAAAGGAAAAGAATAAAAACAAACAATTGTAAAAAAACGGATGTAACAATTAAAGAAAAACATAATTTAGAAGGTACGAGAAGATCATCTAGAACGATTCAAGTTAGAAAGTCGCTTTTCCCGAGCGGAGCAACGTTTCCCTCGTGTTCAGACTCGGAAAACGAGGCGAAAACGATATTTGGAAATGCGGATGCAAAAAACGAATCAAATGACGGGAATGTTTATGTCGGTTCTCCATTAGAAGACGATCAAAGGTTTTCAAATCCGAACGTGGAATCGGAAAAAAACGAAAACCTAAATTTTCCACAGAATGATTTCACTTCAGAAGTTTTACCTGCCAATGAAAATTCTTCAAATAAAGAATTACAAACAGGTATATCAGACCCGAATAAAAGCAGCGATCTTGAAGAAATGCCCATATTGGCGAAAGAAGAACCCATTCGTGGGAAATTCAATGGGAAAAGCGAACAAGACATTCCTGTGCTGTTACCGGTGGTGGAAAATTCTACGGAAAATCTCGACTCGTGTAAAATTGAAAATGAAAAACGCTCTCCTAATATCGGTTTTCACGTGGTGAAAAAAAGAAAGAAAACATCGAAAGAAGAAGTGGCACCCTTAAAAATAGTTAAAAACAAAGAAAGTGGGGATTTTTCAAAAACCAAAACGGAAATTTCGTTGAGCTTAAATAAATGTAAAAATAAACGTTACTCGCAGTACTCGATGGAAAAAGAAAAACGTTCGAAAAACACGGTAGAAGAATTCGATAAAGAATCTTTTGCGGTCGAAGGAAAACCCTGCAGCAGTCCCAAACGTAAAAAATATTTTTTAGGGATTTGCCCAGGCGAAATAGATAAAGGCGAGGAGGAATGTAACGAAGACAGCAGTTCGGATAGTGAGCCTCTCATAATGTTGGTCAATCAGTCTCAAAAAGAAAATCAAATGAAAAAAAATAATGAAATTGAAAAAATCCGGGAAAACAGTCGGGAAAATTCAAACGAGGAAACGGTCATTTTGGATTATTCGGTATTAAAAAATACGGGAGAAAACGTTGAAAAAGACGTCGAAGAAACTTTAATTCGATCTTCGTCGCCAACGCTCTACGATTCCACGTACGAAAATAATGAAAAATCATTCGGAGTAAATAATTTCGAAAGCAACGTTGTAGAATTTACGTCGAAAATTAAAAAAGGACCGAGAATAATTGCAAAAATAGAGAAAAAAAGAAAAAATTCTAAAAATAAAAGTGAAAAATTAAGCATATCTTTGAGCATAGAAAAACCCAAATTGAAATTCGACGAGAGCGTCAATAATAATAATAATAATAATAATGAAAATGATAATTTTAACGATAATGTTATCGATAGTAACGAAAGTGAGAAAAAGTCTTCTTCACCATATTCAGACGTAAAGGAAAATTTATTAGTTTTACCAAATGGTGAGAATACTTTTCCGGAGAGACGAAGCAGAAGAATAAGCAAAGAAATCAAATCGACAAATGAATTCGTCATCGACGATCCGTTATTATTGGTGGATGAACTCTGGAGCGATTTAGATTCGGATTCCGATTCTGCGAGGAAAAAATCGAAAAAGGGAAGGAAAAAATCAAACAGAAGGAAAATTATAGATGAGAAAAAAACGTGCGACGTAAATTTGGAAGAACTATTGAGAAATTTCGGAGAGAAAAAAGAAACGTGTGTAAATAATGATAAAACGGAGGAAATTTCACAACAACCGCAAACAACCGTTTTGCCCGTGAAAGTTTTCTCCAAAACTCAAACGACTTGTCGTAGATCCGCAGACGTACGGAAAGTCCTGGAAAATCGCGTCGTACGAGAATCTTATAAACGTTTATCGTTAAAATTATTTCGTTTTAACAAAGCATTTAAAAATTTTGGAAATCGCGGAGAAAGACTAGCCGACGTCAAAAGAATTCTGAAAGAAAAACGGGATGAAATCGAAATCAAAAATAATAATTTGCCGGATTTACCATTTTTAGCGGCGGAAATAAAAGAGAATCCCGTGCAAATCATACAGTGTCGCTCTCAAAAATCAAAATCCGGAAAAAAGGGTTTAAAGAAATTAGAAAGAAACATTCATATGAAAATATCCTTGCCCTTGGAGAGTATTAATAACATGACCGTGTTCAATAATAATCATTTGACAGAATTCGACATCGAGAACGAGAGTTTGAAAAAACAAGAACAAGGAGGGGAAGTTGACAAAACGGAGGAAGGGAAAATTAAAAGCGAAGAAGCGGTCGGGGAAAAAGATGACACTAAAGACGTTGTTATAGAATCAGGAGGAGAAATGATGAGTAAGATGAAATCGTCAGAAGTTATCGATAAAATATTTTATTGTGAAATATGTCAGACTTATTACTATTCTTCTTCTCAATTGAAAATGCACAAGCTTTCAAACAAACACAAAGTTAAAGAATCTGAATTTTTATCAGGTCAAGAGGGATTATGTACACTAACGGATCCATCAAAAGCGGAAAACAAAGATGATGAGAATAATCAACAAGGTAAAGATTTACCACCGATCGATTCCCGGGGTCATCAAGAGCGTGACGTCGTTGAAAGAGCCGAATTTGAAAAACTCAACGAAGATACTTCGGAAATGCCGGTTCTCGAAGGGCCTTTCATTGAAAATCCCACGACGGGGATTTTCCAAGGAAAAACTCCATCCGAGCCGACGCGTCATCCGATGACGCCCACGAATTTCGGTTTCAGTCCGGAAAATTTAAAAGATATTCAACGAGCCATCGGTTGCACCGACGAAGAAATGTTGATATTGACGCTTTTAGGTGAGAACACGATCGAAATAGAGAATGACATTTTAGATTTGGATTCTTGCAAATTGACCGGAGTCAAAAATCCTGAAAATGTGAAAAACGATGTCGTCGGGGAAACGGTCAACGGAATATTAAAAGTTGATTTAAAGCAACGAATGACGTCTGCGCTGGCTTGTCTGGTAAACAAAGCCGTGTTTAATTTACTTCAAAAGTACGAGAGCGTTGCAAAGTCTTCCGTCAATCCCGAGGCGGTGTCACTTCTCGGTAAATTATCCAATCTCAGCAGGAGGAAAAATATTTTGCAGTTAAACGAATTGTTAAAAAAGGAAAAAGATGGAGAATCGTCGGTGAAAAGCCTTTACAAAGATATGGAAAAAAAAGAACCGTCTTTAGCCTATAAGTATCAGTGTACGATTTGCGGGAGTAGGTTCGAAAAAGCATCGACGAGAGAATGTCACATAAGTCGAAGTCACAAAGGAAAATCTAAAAGGAATAACGATGAGACGCAAATGGGTTCCGAGGATGATTGGAATGACGTTTGGACTTATGACGGTGGTGGCGATGAACCCATCGGAGGAAGTAATAATTTGTCTCAATTTTGGTGCTCCGGTAAGTTGTTATTATTATTATTATTTTAATTTTTATAATTTAAAATATTTTTCAAAATACATTAATAAATTGGAATTTTTTAGATTGTGGAATAAACTTTGTGTCTCCTCAAGAAGTTCTAGAACATCAAAAACAAGAACATCAAGCCGGAGTGAAAGAAGTCAAAGACTCCAGTCCTCTGCAGTCCTCGACGATCGGATCTAGCGACGAAATAATCGAAGGGAAAAAAATGAAGCGACGATCGAAAATGTTCACGTCCGAAGAATTAGACCAGCAAAGAATTATAGCCAATAATGAACTCAGAAAGCTCGATAGGAAATTTTCCGTTAAAAATAAATCAAATAAATTGAAATGGGGAATGGATGCATTGAAATTCACCGTGGAAAAGGAGAACAAAGAAATGACGATGGAAGAAGACAAGGATCATCTCATATTGGAAGAAAGCGGGGAGAAGACTCAGGGTGACGTTAAAAACATCGATCTGGTACCCAAATTGAATTTTTCCCGCAAGAACAACATACCTGAATTCAAAGTAATACAGAAAAATTGTTTGAAAAATCGTTTTCAAAAAATAATTGACAACAAGTTGAAAAGAAAAACGTCTCGACATTCTCAACAAGATGGGGTAGAGACGGAAGAAGTGGAAACCGAAGTCATGCTGGTGCCGGTAGTTGTTAAAAAGAAAAACAAAAAGCAAAAGTCGAACAAGGGGAAAAAAAGCGGAGACGAAAAAAATATCGACGTTTACGATTTCAATGATTCTGAACCTGAAAATGAACCCGTCGCTCTTTCACACATAAAAAAGTCGATTTCCCTCCCTACGAAATTGAAATTAATAAAAGTGAAAGAATTACCGTCTAAGAACAAAGCAGATTCGACGACGAAGGGTTTGATACCGGATGATTACGATTCAGAAGACAGTTTACCCCTGTCCGTTGTGAAAAAATACAAACCCAACCATGGTGAAGACCATGAAAAAGATGAAAAAATATCCGAAGAAGGATTGGAAAAATCAGAAGGGATTTTAGAACAAGTGGAATATTTAATAGAGCAATTGGAACACGAAACCGGTTCGGTCGGAGATAAAGTCGAAGAGAAAACAAATAACGTAAATAATAATTTAGAAAAAGAATCGGAAAAGGACGAGATTGACGAGGGAGAAAATGTTGATTCGCCCACCAACAGTCTCAGAGTCAGTTTAGCAAATGATCTCTTAGAAATAGATAATTTACCCCTGAGACCTCAAATACTATGTAAAAACTATGACGAAACCGTCATGGAACCCGAAGAAAAAAGTGAATGTAACATTCGACTGGCGGAGAAAATAGTGGCCGAACCCGAAAGCAGTCAAAGTATTTTCGACGAAGAGGATAGCATGCCTTTGGTTTTAATGTCGAGGAAAACGGAAAACGTGGAAGAGAATGCGGAGGAAAAGAAAAGTGATGAAAACACTTGCGAATCGTCTTCAACCGGAAGTGAATACAATAACTTACCGTTGAATATTGAAAACGCGGATCGAAATTCTTCAGGTTTATCGTTTGCCGATTGTCAAGAAACGACCGAAGACAATTCAATGTCGTCTTTTTCGCAAAATAAAACAGGCGAACCGTGCAAACCATTCGAAGTCCTCAACGGTAATGTTATTTATTGCAGAAACGAATCCGCAGAAAATGATTTCGAAAGCGATTTAAGCAATTCCGTCGGAGGGGATTCGAAAGAAGATGATAATTTAATTTGTCAAGGTGAGAACAATCACGTTTTGAACGAAATAACGGAAAAAGAAGATATCGTTATAGTTTGTTCGAAGGGAAACAATAACAAAAATTGCGACGACGATGAGAGAATCAACAGCAAGAAAAAAAAAATTAAAATGAATCAAAGGAGAAAAAAAGAAAATTTCAAATCGTCGAGAAAGAAAAAGAAAAGGTTTCCCCTGTTGACGGCTACCATAGAGGAAAATAATTTTAAAAATAAAGAAAACACGAGATTGAACAAAGAAGTCATAGTTCGAAGGATATGGAATAGAAGTAAAATAATCGGCGACAATTCGGATTACGAAACCGTCGAAAACATGCAAAATGACGAATCTCAAACGGAAGTCGAAAAAGAAATCATCGTTAAAAAAATATGGAGTCGAAAGAAACACTCGGATTCGGATTGCGAATCTTTCGATAAGGGCGAAGAGTCGAAAATCGATGATCGCAAAATAAACAAGACGGAAATATCGGACGAAGTCGTCATCAAATGCGGTCCGAAAAATGTTCCCGCTCCGAAAAGGCGTAAAAGTAAAAGTTTATCGAACGAATCATCCAAGGAAACGATCATGCGGAAAATCTGGAGCGGAAAATGTAAATTTCAAACGAAGGCCGCGTTGAAAACCTACGATTCGGACGTTTTGCTCGACACAAAAGAAAACGAGATCGGAGGAGGGGAAGACGTCAGGCCGAAGAAAAGGGGAAGACCCCCGGGGTTTTCATCTACGAAAAGAATCAAAACGTCAAACTCGAACGACAAAACGGACGAAGATGATTTGGACAGTTTGATAGAAGAGATCGAAAGAGAGCAGTTGGAAAAAGCGATTCGTTTAGATTTTTTGCTGCTGCGACGAAGCGAGAAAGCCAACGTGGAAATATTAAAGGAAGGCAACAATTCGACCATGGGTTTATTCACGGAAACGATAGAAAAACATCACAGGGACGGTTCGGAGAAAAGGAGGAAGAAAATTCGCGGAAATTTGAGGCAAAGTGTTTTGAAAAGGAAAAACTTGATGAGGAAACCCCTTCGGAAAGTTTTACCCGCGGCGGAAGAAAAGTGTTTCTGCGGCGGGGAACCCAACGACGAAGAGAGACGAGAACCGGAAGAAGAAAATCCGGAAAATTTTATCGAACAAACGGCGAATTTCGTTAGCGTAGAAGGAAAAATAAAAAATCGAAAGCATAAGAAGCACAGACACAAACATCACCATCACAAGCACAAGCATAAAAAATCGAAACACCACAAAAGCGTGGTGGGAAAGCATAAGAGTAGCAAATATAAATTTTTACCAGAGGAAATGGAGGATGTGAAAAAAAATTCTAGTTCTTTAACCGTTTCCGAAAACGACGACGATGACGTCGACGGGGTCGACGACGGCAACGTCAACGACGACAACAACGACGTTTCCGAGTCACGTGGTCGGATAGGAGTCGTCGAATCACATCACATGAAAAAACCGAAAAATTTATCCGTCGAAAGCGATGAAGAAACGAATAAATTCGCATACGGAGAAAGAGTAAGAAAAAATCGCGACGGCACGGAATCGTACGAGAGCGTCATTGTAAAAACGGGGGAAAAAAATTATGAAAATCGCGGAGGCAGCGTGTACGAATTCGCAGAAGACGCGTCGAATTTTTAAAAACGTTCTTTTTCCAACGGACGAATCAAACGAGTCTCGAGAACCGGTGGTTGTTGTGAATGTCGGTTTCGTTTTTTTAAATTCAGGTACGTTTGTTTTATTCATTCATTCGGAAAAAGGGTTTTGTGTGCGGGAAAAAGGATTAAAAAAAAGGAAAAAGGAAAAGAAGATTGATTATTATTTAAAATAGCACGAGGTGACAAAAAGTAAATAATTTTTCTATCTTTTTTTTTTTTTTTTGTATTGTTTTGTTTTGATCCATTGAATTTTAATATGGCGGTTGCGCGCGTTTTACTTTTTTCTACATGCAAAAAAAAAAACAAAGAATAATTCTGTTTAATAATAATAATAATAATAATAATAGTAATTATTAAAAACGACATTTTTTTTTTGTCTCTTTTCTGTTATTAGTTTTAATGCATAATAAATTTAACATTTACGTCGTTTTATTCGCGATATATATATATATATATATATATATATATAAATTTTTTATTTGTCTCTTGAGAATTTTTTAACGGTTTTTTTTTTTAAAATGAGTTTTAATTCAAAAAAAGAAAAAAAAATCTCGTAATTAGCATATATTATAATTGCCTTGCGTAAAAAGAAAACACTAATCGTAGTGAAAATGATTGATTGATTGATTGATTGATTGATTGTTTTTAGTTATTATTATCATTTGCGAATCTATTTCCGAATCGCAATTCAAATTTTTTTTTTATTTTAAAGTAGTAAAATATATATAATAGTAATAATAATAATAATATATAATAATAATAATAAAATAATAATTATCGATGTAGAATTTAGTTTAAATAAAGTTCCTGAATGAATTAGATTTTTTTTTTTTTCTTATTTTTCTTATTTTTTTCATTTTTTTTTTTTAAATTTTTTGTAACGGTTAAATTTGTATTTCGCGTTTTAAATTTTGAAATCGAGAATAAATGGAACGTCTTTGCTCGCGTTTTCAAAAAAATTTAAAAATTTTTCTTATTTTCTCGTTAAAAATGTTGCTTTTTTGTTCATGTATGTGTACATAAATTTATTTAAAGCTTTGCACTTATTAATTAATAATAATAATGATGATGATGATGATGAGGAAGGGTAAAAAAAAAAAATGATGGTTAGGATGAATAAATTTGGACGGTTGGGATTTTTTATTATTGTTGTTGTTATTATTATTATTATTATTATAAATAATTAAAAAATTTGAAATTTTGCACGTTTTTTCTTTTTAATTAAAAAAAATTTTTCGATATTTAATTGATTTATTATATATAAATTTAAGAACAAATGAATAAATAAATAAATGATGATGTTAATGTAATAATAATAATAATTAGGTTGAAAATTTTAAGAAAATTATTATTATTATTTAATACACGTGCCATATCGTCAAATCACAAAATTAATTAGAAAAACCGTTACGAAAACGAATGATGTGACGTTCCGGAACGAAAATTTAAAATTGGAGGGGGGGGTGGAGAAATTGGAAAGAGTGTGCGAAATGATTATTAATGTATGTAAGAATATTATTATTATTACTTACTTACTTATATATATAAAATGTCGTGTCACGAGAAATTTTTTTTTCTTTTTAATTATTTTTTTTAAACATATATTTATTAATTAAAATTAAAATTAAATAAATTGTTGTTATTGCTATAAATAAAAAAAAAAACGAGAAAAAAAAAGAAGGTAAATATGTAATAAAAAAATTAATTAATTAATTAAAATAGTCGTTAATTAATCGAAAATAATATATATATATATATGTAATATTAATTAATATTAATATTAATATAAATAAATGTAATTAATTAATTAATTAATTAATAACTTTTTTGATTCACTTCGTGCTCATTTTTTATTTTAGATCTCAAAATGTTTTTTTTTTTTTATTTTATTTTAAATAATAATAATAATTATTTTAAATGGCTTAATCGATCACGTACTCACACACACACACACACTTACATACTTTCATATATTTTATTTTGTGTAATATAAAAAAAAAAGCGCGCGTTTAAATTTAATGCATAAATAAATAAATAAATACATAAGTGTTCATATATATATATATATATATATATATATATATATATATATATATTAATAAACGTATATAATAAATTTTAAAAAATGATAATTTAAATATTTCAAATTTTTTTTTGTTTCTATCATCCCTACTCGATTTTAAATTTATTTAATCGTTTATTAATATTATTATTATTATTATTATTATTATTATTATTATTGTTTAAGCTTTATAAAATTGATTATTATTAATTAATTAATATCACGCGTGAATATTGCAAAAAAAAAACAAAATATGTACACACACACACACAGAGAGATGTCAAAAAAAAATTTAGAATGATTGATAATTGTATATTTAAATAGTGTAATAAGAATTTAAATGATAATAATAATAATAATAATGATGATGATAATAAAGTAACGTGCGCTTTGTGGTAATGATAATAAAAATTTAACTTTCCTTTTTTCTCTCTCTCTCTCTCTCTTTCTCCTTTCTCTCCCTTTTTTTTACTCCTTTTCCTTTCTCCCTTCCTCTCTCTGTCTCTTTCTCCTTTCTCTCCCTTTCTCTCACTCTGTCTATCTCTCTTTCATTATTCTCTCTCCCCCCCTCTCTCTCTCTCTTCTCATAAAAAAAAAAAAATTAAATATAATATAATTGTGTCTTTAATTTTCGGGAACGGGGGGAGGAAATTTAATTAATAATTTTTTAATTTAAGTTATTAAACACTCATAATAATAATAATAATAATAATAAGTTTGCGAATGATTAAATTATTATTATTATTATTATTATTAAATCATCTTTTTTCCATTGAATTCATTTTTTTTTAAATTAAAGCGTTGTGGTTGTTGTTGTTGTTGTTGCGTGGTAGGTTTTTTATTGGAAGAAGGTATGAGGTAAATAAATAAAACAATTTTCACGGTAACGTTAACAATATATAAATATATTTTTTTAATATTAAATATACAATAAATATATAATATGAAATATTTACGCATGTGCGTATCGGTATATAAATATCAATGTATACAATAATTTTTTATTTTTATTTTCAGTGCGCGAATTACGTACGAAAAAAATCAACAACAGAAATTTTTATATATGGATTATGTAAAAGAATCGACCAACAGCGATGGTGATGGTGATGGTAGTGATGGTGGTGGTACCACCAATGGGGATACGTATGGTGAGTATTTAAAAAAAAATTTTTTTTCTAACAACCGTTTTTTTGTACGTATTTTAATATTTTGGTGGGTAAAAAAAAAAAAAAAAAAAATTAAGGCACTTAAAAGTATTTATTTGGTTACTACCCGTTGCCATTTACGCCCGAATCGTGAATAACAACAAATGAGGTTTTACAAAAATAAAATCTTTTATATATATATATATATAACAATTATTATTATTATTTTAAAAAAATCGTTCGCGCCCATTTATTTTCTTTCGTGACGTCGACGACGACGATAATATTAATAATAATTATTTAAAATTCATATAAAAATAAATTTTTTTTATTAATAATAACGTTAAAATATATATAAATAACTTATTTTCAATTTTACTATACTTGATACGGTGATTATTATTATTATTATTATTATTATTATTATTATTATTATTATTATTATTCAAATGCGAAAATATCGTTTAGGCCCCAGAAATTGGGGGGGGAGGGGAAATAATAATAATGATTATAAGACCACGAGGTAACATTTTCGAAAATAAAATTTTTAACGAAATTCGGAATGCAATCAATTAATGGTTTTTTTTTTTTTTTGAAATTAAAAACGCGCGAAAATTTCGATGATAAAATCACATTAATAAAATTTAATAATTTAAAACAACTTGGTTGTCGCCTGTGTAGGAACGACAAACGCGCGTCAAATTTGTTTGTTTTGTTTGTTTTCAACGGATTTGTTCTTAATTTTTTTTTTTTTTTCCAAATTGTCCGTGCTATTATGTATAATTAAAGCCTACATCGGAATGACTGACAACTACTTATGATAAAAATTAATAATAAAATAATTGATTGTTAACTAATTAACTAACTAACTAACTGATTAACTAACTAACTAACTAACTAACTTAATTAGTATTTAACGGTAATTTTCAAATTGTACATTTAAAAAAAAAAAAAAAAGTGCGATACGCGTATTTTCACTCCCGTTATAAAATATTATTATTACATAAAAATTTTCTACCATTTATTATTCGTCTGTATGATGACAACAAAAACTTTTCACAACCATTATCACGTTTAGTACAAATTTTTCATTCATTCATTCATTCATTCATTCGGTTACGTTACGTATAAAAGCGAATAATTTAAAAAGGCTGCATTTAAGGCTTTTCAAGCACGTTTACGAAGACTTATTAGTTAGACATTAGTTTTCGAAGGAATGAATGATTTGAAAAATTATTATTATTATTATTATTATTCCTTGACCAAGTAAACCAAAGTATCTCCCTTTCCTTTTATATATATTTGACCCCTGTGTTCCAAATTGTATTTTTCCGAGAGTATTTTCACGCATGAATGAGGAACTTGAATTCTTCCATCGACTCCGCACGAATCCATTCGACTCGCGACGTTCACAGCATCTCCCCATATATCGTAAAACAATTTACTACTTCCTATGACTCCCGCGGTAACTTCTCCCACGTTGAAACCGACACGTAATATCAAATTAAATCCTAATAAATCCGTGTTGAAAACATCCACGACCCTATACATTTCCAATGCGAAATCCATGAGTTGGAAAATGTGTTCGTTTTCCGTTTTGTTTTCCTTTCTCAAATTCGGATTTAATCCGCTCGCGCCCATGAAAGTACTTCCGATCGTTTTGATTTTGTCGACGTTTTCAAATTTTTTCAAACTTAACAATTCGTCGAAATCCGATATGAGTTCGTTTAAAACTCTCAGGTATTCTTTTCCACCGGAATAACTTTCGTCGTATAATTTATTAAAATTCACGATGCTCGCAAACATTATTCCGACGTTTGAATGATTTTTACAATATTTTGCACGATTTTTCAATTCTATGCTCACGTGTTTGGGGATTATATTTTCCAAAAGCCAATCCGCTTGATTTTTCATATTTTGAACTCTCATTTTATCCTTTATCGATTCCGTGTTGCAATAATAACTAAACCTGTAACTTATTTCGAATTCTCGATTCAATAATAAAACCAAACATATCACAATGAATACGTTTAATATTATTTCGGAATAGTCGAATGCGAATGCGGCACCGTTTATACCATCCACGATATTTTTCATCCAATCATCTTTTCCAAACGATTCGTTTTTCCTTTCGTTTAAAATTTCTAAAAATTTCAAACCGTCTCTCGTGACGTAAAACTCACCGTCGCTCCTCTCACTACCTCCTCCTCCTCCACTACTATTATTATTATTATCGTAATAATATAAATTTAAAAATTTCATACCTGTTTTGTAATAGGTTTCCGCGTCGAACACATTCCCCGACAAATCGTTTAATATTTCTTTTAATTCGCGACAGGAAAATGATATTTTCTCCCCCGACTCGTCGTCGTCACTCGCGAACGTATTGTTGCCGAAAAAATTCCTACGTAAAAACTGACTCACGAAAATAACAGATTTTAAATTTTCACCATCGTTTCCGTGATTTATTTTATCGTATAACAATACGTATATTATACCGGATATCAATGCGAGAATACTTTTCATGAAAAAATTCAATTGGGTAAAATTACAAAAATGTATCAAACCGATTAGTATTAGGATGGTGTAATAGGGATCCCGAAGTTCGACGTTTAATAACAATTTTTTATTTTCGTTCGACGATAAAAAATCGTCAAAATTTATTAAAGACGTCGTCGTCGTCGTCGTCGTCATCGACGTCGTCGCCGTCGCGTCACCGTCTACTTGTCTATAATAATAATAATTAAAAAAAAGATTCGTTAAAATCACAATCATCGGAAGGCTTACCAACAATCCGCCGAAAACGTGCCACGGATACCATTTTGAAAAAACGTTAAATATTTTCTTGCTTAAAAATTTGGTCGTTTCGTCAATTTTCCGACTCGACGTTTTCGCCAAGTGAACGAGACAAAGGAAAAAAGCTACGAATTCGATGAGAAATGCCAAAGTGGATGCACCCACGAAATACGGTGACGGATCGTGAAGAACGTAGAGGGAAACTGTCGTGCACGCAAATACGGTACACGAAACGAAAACGTCGAAATACGTATTGAACCTATAGGAGAGAGAAAGATAGAGATAGAAAAAAAAAAAATCAAGAAAATGAAAACCGGAAATGAAAGCTTTGGTTTTGAGTGGAAAACCGCGGGAAACCACAGGGAAAATTTACCTCGATGTTGACAGAGTCGTGAGATTTTCACATTTTTTTTCATCTATTTTATGAGCATTTGCACGATATTCCTCTTCAGTCTTTTTATCTTTGAAAAAAAGAGTCAGCTCGTCTAACGGAACGTTAACTATGTAACTATTTTGTGATAAATCTTTTATGCATTTAACCAATTGCAAATCCGATTGTTTTCTCAATGAATAAAAACAAGAGCTTAAATTATCGGAAACGGGTTTTCTAATAACATACTCGTTGTCCGACTCTGAAAACAAAAAACAAAAACAATAATGATGATGATGATGATGACATTAGCGTTTATTTCGTCGGTTAAAGGAAAATGTGTTAATTTTTTGTCGTCATTTTCGCACGATTAATTAATTTGATTTTTCGTCATTTTATTCTGTTAAAAAATAATTACCGGAATCTAATGGAGATAATGTCGACTGACTCGAATTACAATAACTTCCGATTTTTTGTGCAACCATTTCACTCTGGGATATACCGTTCAATAAATATATCTAAAAATTTAAAAAAAAAAATTTCAAAAATTTTCATTCATTCATTCATTCATCGATCGAAGAATTTTCCTAACGAGCAAGTAAAAAAAAAAAAAAAAAATAATTTACTTGTTGTTGAATGCTGCTTCTCCTGTTGTTACAACCATTTCGTATTCCACTATTTCGAATATTAAGAGACGGACACAAACTCACTTCCTCTTCCGTTTTATCATCGTTTTTATAAAAAACATCTTCTTTGTACAACGAAGACCTGCTATTCGTTATTTCATCCTGCGGAAAATTTACACATATTAAACGGAAACGATTTTTTTGGACAGAGAGAGAGAAAGAGAGAGAGAAAAAACGGAAAATTTTACCCGTGACGTACCATATTTTTCAACGATGGAAGTCTTAAACTGGAAGATTCGTTCGCTGACGAAGAATTTTTACGCAATTTGGAAAATGACAACCATGGAGAATAATTTATTTTTTCCACGGATCCAGACAATGTTCTATTCGAACCGAGTACGTTGGGAAGCGATACGAATTTCGATCTTGAGTCATTAAATCAAATAATTAGAAATTTTTATTTTCAAATTTCCCCTCCCCCTCCCCCCGTGCCGTTTTAATTTCGACCATTTTTTTTACCTGGCATCGGTTAGTAAGCTTAGGTAATGATTTTTTTTCGACGGAAATTGATGACCGAAATTAACACTTTTCCTATTCGAGTTTAAATTTTTCGATGACGTCATTTCGACAACGTTGACCCCTCGTCGAATAACTGACGTTCTACATTTGATAAGATAAGTTTTTACACCTGACACAATACAAATAAAAACAAAATTTTAATTTTACGACCGCCTACTACGCCCTAAATATGGGGGGGGGGGGGGGAAAGAAAAAAAAAAACAAAACAAAACCTTGTAAATCCTCGTAATTTTCCAACGAATAAAAATCTCGTAAAAAATGAGCCGTTTGTTCGGATATATGAACTCTTCCGGGTAATCCGGTAGATTCTAATTTATTTGCGAAGGACACGTCATTAGACCAAACATCAAATTTAAAACGTCGAGTTCCAACGATTCCGCATAAAACGGTCCCCGTGTGAACGCCTACGCGCATATTAACGTCTTCACCGCGATCGATATCGAATTCTTGTATCGCATCTATCATGTCTAAAAATAAAATTATTATTATTATTATTATGATTATGAGAGAGAAAAAAAAAAAAAAAAAACGTTAAACTTTAAACGTTAAGCTTTTATTATTATTATTACCGAGTCCCATTTCAACACAACATTTGGCATGATCAGGTCGAGGTTCGGGACAACCGGAAACGCAATAATAACAATCGCCTAATGTTGAAATTTTTTCACATCCGTTAGCAATGCAAAGATCGTCGAAACGTTCGAACAAATCGTTTAATATGTCAACTATTTCCTCCGCGGTTTTATTAGAACTCATTTTTGTAAATCCTACAATATCCGCAAATAAAATACTAACGTTATCCATTCGACTCATATTAAAAGGTCTAAATAATGATCTAAAACAAAAAAAATTTATTTATTTATTCGTAGGATGTTGTGACGTCACATTAAATTATTCCTCATCTACCCTAAATCGTCTTGAGGTCTAACGTTTTCTCCATGTTCTCCGGACAGTAACCAATTGGCGACTTTTGGCGGCATCACGCTATGAATTATATTTTCCTTTAATTGTTTTTCCATTTCCAATTGTTTTTGAACTAATAACCTTTGACCCACCTAAATTTTAAAAAGTAATTTTTCAAATATTTTTTATCATTAATTAATTAAAAAAAATTTCCCTTGATAATACTAAAAAAATTTTCACCTTCATAAAAGTTCCTCTAACTCTCACATGAGTCATGACTAAAATATGAAAACCGATTATGTGTACGCAAACTTGACATAAAATTCGAATTACAAACCTATAGGGGAGAATAATTTCAAAATATACTATATTAATTCATAAAACAAAATAATTACTTTCAGCGTACTTACAAATAATGTCTCACCCATAATAAAACAAAATAAATTGTTTTTGACTTGTTGCAAGTATGCATTCGAATGTTATCGAAAACAATAGGCAAATCGTTAGGGATAGGTAGGGTTGAAGTGGGAATATCGTATATATTGACAATATCACCGAGCATGCCATTGTGAAATGGGACACCATGGTTGTTCCCCCTGCTGCTAGCATAAATATCAACGATGTCAAAACCAAATGAAGAGCTGTGATTCCACCGATGACACAATCATGTTTTTCATACATTTTTTTATAAGTTAAAAATAATATCCATATTGCGAAAATGAATAATTGTGCAAAAATAATATATTCAAATTTTAAATTATTCAAATATGGTTGACATAAAAGAAAAATTAACCAGGCACCAGATACAATCATCATGTAAATTAAGGCAAATCTACAAAAAAAAAAAAAAAATGTTTTTAAGGTCAAAATAATAATTATTTAAATTTAAATTTAAATTTTTTTTTACCTAAATCTTTTTGTAAATTGTTTAAATGAACTAATTTTAAATTGTTTTTCTAATATGTTGGAATCGAACGAAGGAAGAATCCACGAATGTCTTGCTGCTCTTTCGAAAGGCACGGGTAAACAACCGCAACCTCCGCCAGAACTACAATGTGCTAAATATGTTTGAATGTAAGGAGCTAAAGTCATCTAAAAAAAAAAAATTTCAATTATGATGTTTATCATAAATCAAGGTAAGTCGACACATTTAATACTTATTATTATAATAAAATAATTTTAAAAATATTCATAGATGAATATTTAAATTTTTATCTTATTCGTTATCTGCGAATTCGAGTGAAGGAGCGAAAAAAAAATGAAGGCAATGTTTAAATTGTGGTAATTCTCGAATGAAAATATTTGCAAGCAAAAAAAAAAAAAAATTTTTTTTTTATGATAATTGATTTTAATATCAGTTATAAAAATCAAAAAGCAAATACTTACTTGTATTTCATCTTCAGATTCTCCTTCGCTTGATATTATTTTAACTTGTTTTGTCGAATCGATTATATTTTTTTTCGTTTTTAACAATTCATTCATTTCTGTCATGTTGCATTGAAAATTTAATCACGGAAAATTTTTTATATATATTTTTTTGTTATAACAAGTTGTTAAAAAAACACTTTCTTCATAATATTAAATTTTCCATTTATAATTAATAATATTTTTTTTTTTTTTTTTTTTAATACAACTCACGTCACAAACGTACAAATTCAAATGAACGATTGGTAATAATAATAATAATAATAATAATAATATTAAAACGTTACTTAACTTAACGAATCGAAAAAAACGTACCGAAAAAATTGTAGAAATTGATTGATAGTGTAATAGAATTTGTTAAAATTTAATTATTTTCCCACGAATGCGAATAAAAAATAAACATTTCAATAATTTTATCTAAAACTACGAATTAAATTATTACCGTTAAATCAATAATAATAAAAAATCATTTTTATTTAAAAACGATATTTCAAAAAAAAATAAAAAAAATAAAAAGGAGTGAAGTAAGTTTAAGTAAAACTTGTTGTGTAGTCCATAATCGACAGTGTTACCAACTTGATTAGCAGTCGACAAACAAAAAAAAAAAAAATTAATTGCGGGAAATTTTTTAAATGATGTCTCTCTCGAATTCTCAAATCATTTTTCTAATTAAATTATTCAATTTTTTTTTTTTCTTTAGGTTGGCACTAATTAATAAATGATAGGTAAAATAATAATAATAATAATTTTTTTTCACTTTAATATTTAAAACAATTTTATTTGCAAAAAGAGCAAAAAGTTTCTATATAAATTGTAAATATCAATACAACATAGTCCAAAAAAAAAAAAAAGGGGGAACAAAATAATAAAAACAATTCAACTAATTAATTAAAATAATAATAATAATAATAATAATATAAACTAGCTTTAGCTAATAATAAGATAAAAATCTTATCTCATGTGACATTGTAGTTATTAGTACAATAATAAATATTTTTTTTTGTCGAGGGAATTCCCATATTACTCGAGTGAGAAATTAATTATTATAAATACAATGTAATTCTTTTAACAATTATTCATGGAGTCAAGAAGTCGGATGTGAAGTTTTTAATCTTTTTTTATTTTGTATATCTGCTAATGTTTGTTCAATAGATCTTTGATCTCTTTTATTTTCAGCAGGAACTAAAAAACAAAAAAAAATTTTTCTCTCTCTCTTTTAAACGATACATGTTAAATAATTTACAAGGTACAGGTTCTCATCTTACCGAATCCATACTGTTTATTCATTTGTGTTTTTTGTGCAGCATCTTTGGCTGCAACAGCTCCGATTAAATGAGTATATTTGTCCATGTAATTTGTCGTAGGTTGTACATTTTTGTTTTTCATCCTTTCTTCTTCTTCTTTTTTCATTTCGAGTTCTTTCTAAATGTGAGAAACAAGGTTATTATTTAAACCGTTTAATTAATAAAAATTAATTTTGTATATTTACCTAAATGTACACTTTTGTTTAAATAGTAATATGTTTATTTATATGAACAAAAGTAATAAATACCTGTCGAGCGAGAAGTTTGGCCTTTTCAGGATCCCATTCTTCCCCTCGTCTCAATGCGGCTAATTCTTCTTCTGATGGTGAAAATTCTTTTTTATATACAATAACTCTACGATCAATATCCTCTTCTCCGATTGTAAATCCAGCAACTCCGGCAACTTCAGCAGCATCATGACTAACGAAAAAAAAAAAAAATTTGACTTGATATAAGAAAATACATTAATTCAATACCAGAATGAAAAATAATAATACTAACATTACACTTCTAAAAACTTTATCTGCTGGTTCAAATTCGTATTTGGTTAAACTGACATCTTGTAGAAATTCAGATAATTTATTTTCAACATCTTGTCTAAATTTTTTTAATACTTCTTTTTTTTCCTTTTGCCTTTTAAGAAATTCTTCTTTTTCTTCTAAAAAGAAAAAACATTTAAGATGTAAATTTTTTTTTTTTTTTTTTTTTCAGGCTAAGAACACAAATCGAAAGGAGACGATAATACACAATATATATATCGAAAAGGTAAAATTGAATACTAATTATCAAAACATTAATAATAATAATAATAATAGAAAGCTTGGAAATTTTTTAAATACTTTTACGAATCATTTTTTGTTTTTCCGAGCACGAAGGAGGTTTATCCATTGCCTGCAATATAGATCCTAACAAATCCATTTTTTTTTTTTTAATATTTCTTATAGCTTTTTTGGTAAACAAACTTTAATGAATATTGTCGCAACTTTAGGAAAAGAGAAAGAAATTTGTCGCAAAATGTTTGTATTCACGACTTTTTAGTTAAATACAAAATGGCGAACGGATTTGTAAATAGTTTTTACTTTTTTTTAAAATTTTATATTTTTTCCATAATGTAATTGTTAATTTTTATATAAAATATTGCTCAAAAAGTTTTGCCATTTTGTATTGATTATTTTCTAGTTTTTTTTTCCTAAGCCATAAAGTTACATTTACGTATAAAATGTTTTACATTATATACAAATTTAAATTGTTTACTAATTTTTAAATGGGATAATGGATATATGTAATCAATCTCATCCTGATTTATACAATATTTCCGAAACTAAATTATTTGATTTGATTCCCAAATTTTCTTCTTCTGACGTCATTAAAATTACAGATAATAACGTATCATTTTTTAAAAATGATTTGAACGAAAGGGAAAATTTATCGACGGAAAATGTTAGCAAAAGTGATGTTAAGCAAAAATTACGGAAAAGAAATCCCGAAAATTGGAAACAAAATGTCAGAAAAAGAAATAAAAACAAGGGTAAAGTCTTTTTTTTTTGTAATGTTTACGTTACGTACATTACATGAATGTAATTTTTACATAAATAATTTTTCTTTTTCTTTTTTAGGTTTAGAGTATATTACGGCAAACGGTAAAATTTGCGAAAAAAAAAAATTAGGACCTCCATGCACATGCAAAGAAAAATGCTTTTTAAAAATCGGCTTAGATTCGTGTGAAAAAATATTTAAAAATTTTTGGAAACTCGGAGATCACGCTTTACAAAATGCATACATTGGTACAAATAAAACTTGTAAACTTTATTAAATTTGTTTTGTTGTTTTGTGTGCTCTATATAAGGTTTACATTAACATTTCAGCCGGATGTGTGAGAATTTTCTTGCCCAAACATTGTTACAAAAAAGATGGAATTCCGAGCAGAAGATTTTTCAGTCGAAATTTTCATGTGACAGTGAATGGTGTCGACACTGAAGTATGCAAGCAAGCATTTTTAAACATTCACTCAATCAGTAATGGCAGACTGGATAGATTGTTGAAAAAAAAACAAGAAATAGGAAATACCGGATTCGACGAGAGAGGGAGACACAGTAACAAAGTTAATAAAATTCCCATTGAAAAAATTGCAATGGTTCGAAAACATATCGATTCCATAAGAGAAAAAGCTGGTTACTTTGGCAAGAGAAAGTCGAAAAAAGTCGAAATATTACCAGGAACTCTTAACATAAGAACAATGTATCGATCTTATAGGGATGAAATGACATTGAAAGGACTCGAACCTGTTTGCGAATACAGATATAGAAAAATATTTCACACTGATTTTCATATAGATTTTGGTAAAGTGTCGACTCCATCGAATCTCGACCTCGTGGGAAATCCTAACAAGCAAATTTTGTTGAAACAATCTTCTCACGAATACGATGAATCACCGTCGCAAATATATTTCACGTGTGATAAACAAATAAATGATATAATTTACGAAAAAGACTGTAACAACGATAAAAAAATGGACGATTTGATTAAAAATGTGCCAATGCACACAGGCGTTAATATTAACGTTCAAGTCAACGCGGATGTAAAAACAAATAAGAATAACATGACATATACGCAATTGGAAGGAGGAGAAGATGATAAATTAATATTAACGAGAGAAACATGTTCGTATTCCACGTCGGAAGATGCTTTCAGATTAGATTATTCAATGAATTTTAATAATAATAATAATAATCCACAACAGAGTTGGATATTCTCAAATCCAAGTTAGTGGTAACTTTTTATTTTTTTATTTTTTTTCTTCTCTCTCGACAACTTGAAAACAATAATAATATTTAATTACAATCATTATTATTATTATTGTTTACTGTCAGGGAAAGGAATTTCCCGGGTTTTTTTAAACTATTACAAATTTCTTTTAATGTATAAATGTGTGTGGATGTGCGTGTGCGTGTTCGTATAGCTATATAGAAAAAAAAGTAAATTAAATTGTAATTGCCTTTTATCTAGAGAAGAAAAATGTCGGTTTTATTATTATTATTATTATTATTATGAAAGTTAGGAGGTAATTACAATTAAAATATATTTTTGTAAATATTTTTACATTAAAATAAGTAAATCATCGTCATTAAAATATGGTCAAACGTTACCAAATCGAAATAATAATAATAATAATAATAATAATAATAATAATAATAATAATAAAATATTTAAAGGTATTTAAAATTTAAACGTAATATCTTATCTTTATAAGAGGCAAAAAAAATTTTATTTATGTAATGTGTTTATATATATGTATATTTATTAATAATCAATAATGATCGATTGGAAAACATAAATCGGATCACGCATTATAACTATCGAGAACGAAAAATAAACAAATTCCAACAATCAAACAGTAGAGACCCTGGAAAACGTTTATGTAAAGCAAAACGTATATCCAAGACATTGATAATGTGGATTCGTTCATCTGTTCGAAATCATTGAAAATGGTGTCGTCAAAGTCTGAACTATCATTGTTATACATGGTACCATTATCATTATCATAGGGATTTGACATTTTTTCAGCCGCATCCCTTTCTTCGTATGGTAAAAATAATATTATCATCAATCCGCTAACAACCAAATTCGTACCCGCCGTCAATAGTATCAACGCTCTCGAAAGCCAAGATATTTGATCGACTAAAATCCACGATAGGAAAAAAATGACAAAGGAAAGTGTGATTATGTAATTACCGGCAATGAGAGAGACCGTCATAATTGGAAAATACATATTTATATTATTCCATAAATCAATAAAATTAAATGTTAAAAAAAAAATTGTGAACATGAGACAACTGAATCCGTAAACTTGAAATTCTTTATTATTTGCAAGGAATCCGATTGTTTCGCGTCTGTCCGTCGACATTTTACTATAATACTCATTATTATTATTATTAAGTCGACGTTATCGATTATCGATTATCGATATATGTATATGTATATAAAAATAAAAAATAAAATACAAAAAAAAATTAAATAAACTATGATAATAATAGTAGTAGCAAATTTTGCTGCCGTTAATATATATATATATAAACAAATATTATTTGTAGCAAAACAAACAAACATGTCCGAATAGGGGGTGATAGGGGGGAGGGAAAACAAATTATCAGTTTATTTATTTATTTATTTTATTTTATTTTTTATTTTATTTTTTATTTTTTTATATTTTATTTTTTTTAATAATTTATACATATATATTTTTTTAGAAAGAGAGAGAGAGAGAAATTAATAGTAATAATAATAATAATAATAATGAAATACGTCGAAGATGGAATACCCATGGGTGCGTTTTGTCGTAATTACATATTTTTAATTAGATTGATGTTACTCATTTGTTTAATAACGTTAGTCGGAAGCATGTCATTAACTCAAAATTGGCCAAAATTTTGTTTGAAAACGTTATGGCCGTATTTTAACAACATCGGAGTTTTCATGTCTTTGATAACGTTTGAATTTTCTACACTGATAACGTGGATAATATTCGAAAATGCCAATTGGGTTTTTTACACGCTAACATATTTCATACACGGATTTTTATTATTGACAAGCGGAATTATTTATTTTACACAATTTCAAAGCGAATGCAGAATGTTTTCGAGTAGTAAAAGATTTTCAACAACGGAAATTGTTTACGAAATAACAATTTTATGCGTCGGTTTATTTTACGTTATATTAGGTGGTTTTTTCTGTGTAAAAAGACACAAACTATAAATTATTTTACATAATAATAATAATTTTACATTTATTTAACGAGAAAGTAGTATGGGAATGTAGTTAGTATTATTATTATTATTATTATTATTATTATTTCAAACGGTTTTTATATGCAATTCATGCGTTGTTTGTTCGTACTAATACATACAACGCAGTAACAAACATTATCGTCTTATATACAATCAGTTAAACGTTTTCATTCGTAACTGACGGTTATTATTTAAAAAATCGTTATTTTTTTTTATTTGTTTTAAATACGTTAAATTTTATGTAATTTAATTAATTAAAATTTTCACACGGTTTCTTTATTTTAATGAAAAAATAATAATAATAATAAGTACGTTTGTTGTTTTTTTTTATCGTAGATTTATTATTACTATTTATATTTTAAACTTATCGTAACGAATTAAAAAGGTAAATTTTTATTACGTAAAATAATCAAAAGTAAAAAAGGGGGGCAGAGGGGGAAATAACGAACGTTAAAAAAAGGAAATTTAAAATGTAAGCGAATACAACAAAATAATAATATTACCATAAGTTTAAAAACGGTTTTTTATCTCTATGATTTTAACTTTTTAACTTATTTATTTATTTATTTTTTTCAAATGTTGGTAACGTAAATAATAATGGCCGTTTAATATTTTGGTGGTTTAATAGTAGTTGTAGTCGTAGTAGTAATTTATCGTATATTAATTATACATAAAGAGAGAGACAGAGTAAAAAAGAAGGACTTTTTTTTTTCTTTTTTTTTTTTTTCTCCTCCTCCCCCCCCATTTTTTTTTATTTATTTATTTTCTTTTTTTTTTTTTTATTTTGTTCTCTCCTCTCTTTTTTACGAATAATTTTTATCATTATTATTATTATTATTATTATGAATTAATTTTTTTTGTTAAAAAAAATTATTATTATTGTTGGAAAAAAATCGTCTTGTTGTTAACGTACGTATTATTAAATAAAAAGATAGAGTTATTTATATATTAATTAAAAAAGTTTTGTATCGTGTAATAATTATCATTATTATTTAACACACACACACACACACACACACGCATGCTTGATTATTATCAGTTTTTACCTTTTAGAAATAATAATAATAATAATAATAATCTTATATTCATCCACACTTGTGGATGTTAAAAATTATATTTTAAATACATTTTCTCTCTCTCTCTCTCTATTAATTAACACCTTAAAACGTATTCATTATTATTATTATTATTTATTTTTTTTTAATTTAATTAAATTAACTTGGTTCAAGGTTCAATGGAATAAGTTTATTTATTATAGTAAAAAAAAAAAAAAAAACATCTTTTATTACTATGTATACACACACATAAAAAATTATATGTTTTAAATTATTATTATTATTATTATTATTATTAAATTGAAATTTGTTTTTTAAATAATATTTATCGTGTGTGTGTGTGTGTGTGTGTGTGCGTGTGTATCATATGTAATTGTAAATTTATATTTACATCAATCAAACATATGTTGTTGTGTTGTTTAATTTAAATAATTTAAATACTTGCATGAAATTTTTTTGTGAAATTTATTTATCGAGGCCATTAAGTTTTTTTTTCGTTGTTGTTCCACTTTTAGTTTTTTTATATGTTATTTGTTTAAATTGTTGTTGTTGTTGTTTTTTTTACCAAATATTGAATTTTGTTAAGGACAATTATCAATTATTTAAATTAAATTAAATTAAATTAAATTTTTTTTCCATTTACTTAATCGTCATGTGTGTGTACATGATGTTTGTGTACGAGAAAAAACATTCACAAAAAAAAAATATCAATCGTAATCATATTCGATTGTATTGATTTTATTATCAAAAAGAGAGAGAGAGAGAGAGAGAGAGAGAGAGAGAGAGAGAGAGAAACAAAACTGTTAATAATTTAATTTAATTTAATTTAATTAGACATTGATTTAAACGATTATTACTTTTTATTCTTGTCGTGTGTTGTGTGTGTGTGTGTGTCTGTGTGTTTTTTTTCTGTATCATTTGCACATAAAATTTTTATGATGAATTTTGATTTGGTAATTGTAAGCTTGCGCCGCAGGTTTTTTTTTTTTTTTTTTTTTTAAAACAACTTTAATATAAAATAGAACTAACAGAAAATTTAAAAAAATTTTTGTTACTATAATCGATTAATTTTAATTTTTTTTTTTTTTTTTTGTTTTAGGTGAAAAAATAATAATCAAAAGTGGGAAAATTCATTCTGATGATATGTTGGGAATTAATTGAAAAAAGGGGGAGTTTAATTTTTTTTTTATATATATTTATTATCATTATTTATCTCTTGCGACAATCGATTCATGATAAGATTATGACAAAATTGATTTGATTTCGTTTTCATCTTGAACACACAAACAAACGAAAAAGTTATTAGTATTATTATTATTACTATTCGAAAGAAAGAAAGAAAATCATGTAATAACATTTATTTATTGTCATTCGATTTTGTGTGTGTGTGTGTACAATTTTACACCTAAAATAACACACACACACACACACACACCTGTCTGTCATGTTTACACAATAACATTATTTAAAATTAATCGAATAATTTTTTTTACAAACATGAAAATTTTTTTTATTCGAATGATTTGCTAAAAAATGGATGGTTCGATGAATGCAAAAGAAATGAATGACAATAAATGATGATAATTGATATTTGATTCATTGAAATTGTATTGTAAATATTGATCGATTGATTGATTTTTGTTTAAAACAAATAATGCGTAATATGCATACGACAGTAGTATGTTTGTGTGTAAATTTGTTTATGAACTTTTTCATATTACGTGTGTGTGTGCATTAAATTACCAAATAAACTCGTTTTTGTTTTTTTTTGAATGAATGTTAGTAGTAATAATAATAATAATATCGTGAAATAGTTTTTTACTTCTTGTTTTTAAGTGAAAGCTCGGTCGTGATAACAAAACAAAAAAAAAAAAAAAAATTTTCACTTTAGATCATTTTATCTCTATTAAAAAAAAAAAAAAAAATCATTCACTCAAGTTCTTACATTTTCGCTCGCTTGCTCGCTCGCTCGTTTCCTCTCTCGCACGCATTCACATCGTCATTATTTACCTACGGATCCGTGTGAAAGGATGCAATATAAAATGTATAATCTCGTATTAACGATGGTTTCGGTATAAAAAATTTATTTATTTATTTATTTGTTTGTTATTATTATTAAATAATTTTTTATTAAAAAATTATTTATTCGGGTTAAAGCTCTTCTTCATCTTCTTCTTCGGGTTATCTGAGGTGATTGATTGATTGAATTTTTTTTCTTTCATTTTCTTTTTTTCTCGAAATTTTTCCACGTAAGATTTTTCCATTTTTCCGACGTTCGATACCTAGTTCGAGCAGTTGTTGTGCGTATACAAAGTGACAAAAAAAAATAGAAAAGTTGTTAAAAGTGTTGGATGATTTAGTTATTTAATACATTTACGCGGTTATTATTATTATTATTATTAGTTTTTTGGTGGGGGTAAGTTGATTTTAAATTGTTTTCCATTTTATTTTTTGGTAAATAGGATTTTATATTGTTGTTGTTATAATAATAATAATAATAAATGTCATTTACAAAATGATTTTTCCTCTTTGGAAAATTTTTTTTTTAGGAAAATAATGAAAAAAAATTATTATTATTATTATTATTATTTTTTTTTTTTTTTTTTTTTGTTCGCGAGGTGAAAAATCGTTTGACTTTGACAAATTTCGAATTATCACGGGGGGGGGGGAGGGAGTGGGGGGGGGGATTGTTTGCCTTATTTTACAACCACCTTGCGAAAAACGAGGCGGTGCGAA